TAGGAGAGGTAGGGCGTTGGGGGAGGAAGTTGCTAGTGTAGAGCATGGACGAACACACAATCTCCATGGCAACGGTTTGATCTTTCTCTCTGTGGCTGTCAGGCCTGCAGCGCACATGGTGACGGAGTGGACAGGTTGTGCTGATGACCAGAAGTGGGGAGGTGAGCTGGAGAGGGGAGGGGGGGGCGCTTGGATCAGAGGCAGTAGTCTGTGCCTCCTATTTCTGCTCTCTCTCCCACTCTCTCTCCCCCTTAAACTCTGCCATCTGCAGACCCCAAGAGCTGCTTTGATTGGATTAGCCATGAATTAATGAGACAGGCTTGAAGAACAGCCTCTGTTGTGGAAATCTCTTATCATATCTTAATTCGCTCTTTGTGTGAGCACGTGTGCCTCTGTGATCTTATAGGTTTTTTAAATTAAATCAAAGAAAAAAAAAACACGGTGAATTTGTCATGCAATAAAAAACATAATTCTGAAATTAGGAAGCACATGTTGAAGCTTCATCAGAGACCTGTTGCTCCTCTTTGCACAAAAAGGTGTGACAAAGAGATACATATATATGTAAAGTGCTGTACAAATGTCCCCCATACATATCCCTTTAAAAGCAACAAGTGGCTTTTGTTTTATCTTACCCAGGGTTGGGAAAAGTATTGCTTTGCTCAAGCTGTTTTGCTATCTCCTCTGCCTGAGGAACTTTGGATAGATCTGACTTGCTTTTAGAAGTGTTTTTTTTTTTTTGTTTGGGTGGCATGAGTGTAAAGCAACCTTGAAGAATAAACTGTTGTCTCCGTGATGACTTAAACATTCCTCCTTCTTTTGAGCATGAAGTAGTTATAAAAACAGAGCACTTCATCCTGTCCTCTTCAATCAAGTCTAAACCAGCATAAAGTCTGTACATTTTTATTTAACTGCAACACAGGAATAAGTCTACCTCCGTGTCCCCTGGTGTCTGAAATTAATAGCTTACATAGTATTTATTGTTGTAAGTTTCTACTTAGCGTGAGATAGAGGGATCAGGTGGGGGGATGGCATTGTTTGGTTTGGGAAGTATTCTGTTGGTTGCATAGCAACAGGCTCCTGGAAACGGGAGTGGACGATGTTGCCACTAGCAACCGTTGTTGCTCTGCAAACAATGTGGGCCAGTGCAAACATGAGCCAAGACTGTGGGCTCCTGCTTTTAATTGAACATCTGTATGTGTTTTTCTCTGATTGAGCCCTGTTTAAGTTAGATCTGTCAGTGACATATGTTTAAATCTAGTTTGCACTGTTAGCACTGTAGACTATGGCATTAATGAGCTTTTGTTAGGCTTTTGGGTTCTTTGAAATGTGTCTTTTCCTGTTTCCGTTTAGCTTTTAAAACTCAGGTAACTCTTGAAAGGAGGGGCTGTTGTTGTAATGTTGTTAAGTGCTCATCTGGGATTTGCCTGAATGAAACCAGGCTCACAGGCCAGACATGAAAACGGACTTGTGTGTGTGAAGTTGTCTCTGCGTTTAAAGCAGAAAGGTTTGGCCCTAGACAGCAGCCCATCCAGAGTAGCAGTTTTGTAGCAGTGTGCTACGTCTCCTGCTGTGTCCTACCTTTGTGCCTTTCAGAGCTGCTGGTGGGGAATTTGTGTGGCTTTTAACCTTCCCTGAGCAGAAAGGCTCCTCTCTCCCCCTTCAAGTCAGTGATTTGGTACACTTCACCATATCTATTAAAGCCAGTGCTTTAATTGAGCTTTAATGGATAAAAACATGCAGGTCAGTGCTCTCTTTCCTGATTCCCCACCATCTTGCCATGCCACCCACTCCCTAATGGCATAAATAAACCCTCAGGCTTGTGTTTCTTCCTTTGGTGAAAATGACAAGTCTGAAGATAAATGATGGGATTGTTACAGGTTTATTTATAACTCAAGTGACACTCCGTAGACAAATTCCTTGCTTCAGAAAGATGCTTGAGCAATGCAGCAACTTTTAAAATGTCCCCCTCCTTGTTAGCATCAGTCTGATAATGGTCTTTTGGTACTTTAATAACATATAAGAAAGCAGTGTGAAGAAGAATTTTAATGGAATATAAGAGGCTTCACATATAAGTGGTAATTGTGCCCTGTGCTAACAAATACATTGAAGTTGGACTCAGAGGGCTGCTCAGGGTAGACTGGATATGGTGCTTAAGACCATGTGTGTCTGAAGATTGACACATATCAGGAATTTCAACATAGGCCTCCTCCACTCAGTCTGTTAGTCATGAAGGCAGTGCAGTGCCTTTGCCTGTGGCAAAATCTCCACGCATGGAAAATGCCAGTGGTGGCACACCCAAATCTGTTGTTTTTCTATCTTAAAGGTACACTCTAGGATTTTGATAAAGCATCCAATAGAACCCCAAACCTGAAATACATTAGAATAGGGTATTTCTTTTTTCCCACCAGGGTGGAAATCTGTCTTTGGCTCACAAAGACAAGGTCATATTACACATTAAAAACAGTTTATGACAGTGCCCATGGCTCTCATCACTCACTTTGTGGAGTTAAAATTATTGATGGCACTTGGGATGAAGGACTTCTTAAATAAATTTTTAGTTGCCAGAGGGACTTTGTAGCACCTCCCCGAGCGTAAGAGCTACCTGCCTGGGTACACCTTGCTTTTTTCCCCATACTCTCTGTAAAAGAAATGAGTCAAGGGCTTTTGGGGTTTATATCGCCCCAAGTTACTGCTGATGTGTAAAACTTAACACTGTTGAGAGTTGAGTTTTAAATATTTTAGTTTTGCAGCTAGCAGGGAAATTAATTATGTGTATTTGTGTGCTGTTGGTCACTTGAAAAAATTGAAGTAGTGAATCTTTAATGAGGTCCAACAGCATAGCATGCAGAGAGGTTCAAGGTCCAATCTGATTGATTTCTTTGGTTCTTGATGTAGCTTTTAAGACCAACAGTGTAATGTTCACTGCCAGTTTGTATGTCCTAGTACTTTGTATTTTGATCACCTATCATAGAGAGCTGTGATATTTGCACCAATACTATAATTAACACTCAATATAAAAAAAAAGTGAAAGTGCCAGATTCACTTCTGCTGTGAGACAACATTTATGTAGCCTCGGACAAAATCTTGAACTTGTCAAAAGCTGTCCTGCATAGTTTGCTGCATAAAATAAGAATCACTATTTTTTTGTCCAGTTAAAGATTCTGTGTACAGAGCTGTAGAGAAAACATTTTTTAGTAAAACATTTACCCTAGCCATCTCCTTTTGCCTTTGGGAACTTTTGGTTATGGGTGGTAGATCTTGTGGCTGTGCCCATGATGGCTTCATCATGTTGTATTTAGTGGCATCAATTAGGTGGTTGTATAAATGAGTGGTGTTATCCTGTATCAGCACAGCCTTGAACTCTGAAAATGTTCCACAAAAGAGGATGTGACTCCTATTTTGGTGTGAGCACAACATTTTGGTTGGAACTATGGTTTGGTTACATTTATTTCCTCTTCCTCTCCATCACAGGAGACGGGGTGGTGTACTTGATTCTGACTCATTTTGCCCGTGTTATTCTTCTCTTCTCTAAGTCACATGTTAGATTTGTTTCTGTCTAAGTTCATTTTGTCACATGACAAAGACAGACAGCCTTGATATACATGAATGAATTTAAAGCTCGTGGTTTGATGCAACGGATGCAGGAAGGTTTTCTCAATTTTTACATAAGCAGAGAACTGAAAAAGTTTAATAGCTTTAATCATGCAGCCCCGTCAGAAAGTTTAGTTTGGTGTTTAAGAACGCAAAAAACAAGAATGGCTGCACCTGTTGCTTGTATCTAATAGCTCAGCCTCCCGCTTACTGCAGCCTAAGTAGTGTTTGTCAGATCTTTTCTCTGACTTAAAATAACTTTGTAGTGCATGTCTTGTGTTATGACTAATCACAGCATGTCTAGAGCAGGTTTTGTCTTGCAGTCCTTTGCTGTAATGCTCCCGGTGAACACCATTCTCTCATTTACCTACTGACTTTTCCTGCTGCTCCTGGATTTCTCCTCATCATTCAACCCACCCCCCAACTGTGCCGTATCTCCCTCTCCCTTATTCTAATCCTCCACCCCCTCTTCTCTTTGCAGTCGCACTCGAAAGTTCCTGTGCAAGAGCTTTATAAAGGGGGGGAAAATAGAGGAGTGAACGGGAAGGGGTGGAGGGGGGTTGAGTTGGGGGTGGTCGTCATGGATTCCTCACCATAGCAACCGACAAACGTTTACAAAGCATTGAGGAATTTCCTCATATCAGCTGGATTATTGGAGCCCTCAGAGAACGGCTCTCGTTCGAAACAATCACTGGATATCATCAGGACCCTGGCAGGGGCTGGAGCCCCACTGCCATTTTCATCTTTTTCCCCCCTTCGTTTTTTCTTTTCTATTTTTTTTTTAAGGGAGTGGGGAAGTTGTTTTTTATCTACTTACTCCCCCTTGCAGTTCCATTCTTCTCTTGTCCCTGCCTTACTCCCGCTCTTTCCCTCTCTGTCCTTTTTTTAAAGAGAGCCTTTGTGTCACTCCATTTTTAGTTCCCCTTTGCTATGCTGTGCACATTGTCACCCAGTGGAAAGCCGAATGGTAGCTGTGTGTTTGGTCCTCAGTAAGCATTTCAGTCCTGTTGGTAGCATGAACTCCTGTACTGTAACTTTTCCACCTGGGTCTGATCTGTCAGCAGGACCAGGAGTGTCTGTGTAATACTGTTGGGCTGCTTATTTTCCCAGTGATTAAGGCCAAAGGTGGGCAGCCTCTGGGGCTCTGAGAGCTTCACTGACTCAGCTTGATTGGTAAAGCCAGAAACCCCCTGGGGCACAATGAATGGCCTGGTGGCTCCAAGAGAGAGCCAGGATGAAGTGGACGCACATTTATTTAGTATAGCTGTCCATGTGTATAGGCTTGGAATACTCTTATTCTTTTCTTTCAAGCTTCAGCATTACCTGTAAGAGTATTTTTTCAGTTTAGTGTTGAATCACCCCCCCACTCATGTCTTTTTCCACTTCTTCATGTCTCCCTTGCAAACCAGCATGCAGAGCTCCGAGGGAGGGTCAGACACCACGACCAGCGTGGCAGCGCTGCGGACATCATCTTCAGCTCAGGCCCCCGTGGTACAGCCTGTCCCAGCCTCCCAGCAGGTAGGGTTCTATGTTCCATCCTAAATCTTTCCAAACATTAGGTATTGACGACTACTTATCTTGGAAATCAAATGAGCTTCTTGCTATAGTAGTACTTGTGCATGGTGTCTGAAAAGAAACCGCACAGTCAGAGGCGCACACTGTGAAAATGCAGTGCTGAACTAAACACATCCTGTATTGACATTCAGGGATATGACTGGCACGGAGAAGTGTGTACTGTGTATTCTGTCTGTTGTACGAGCATAAATCATAAAAAAGTCCTGAGGAGGAGGGTTTGTTGAAATGTTTTCCCGTCTTGTGTCGACTGTCATATGTTTACAATTAAGTCTGTACATGTGTGATTGTACGTGCATACCTATGTAATTGAGTTATGTCTTGTATCCACACAGAGGGTGCTGGTTCAAGCTACAGGCTCAGCTCAGAAGGGAGGACAAGTACAGCAGCTTTCAGTACCCAGGGTTCAACAGGTCCCTCAGCAGGTACACAGTGCTGTACATACTTCTACAGTGCTGTGAAAATACTTGTGCACCCCTTGGCATTTTTTTTTCTTAATTAACCTATTTTGACTTTTGTGACTGAGCCTGAGTCCTATACTGTTCTTTTTTTTAAAAGTATTATTATTATTTTTCCAATAACGTAACAAAGAGTTGAGCATATAGCCTGTTTCACCAGGACTTATTTGTGTCATTTACAAATATTTGATCAAATTTTCATGTCTCATTTTGGTCAGAATTTACATTGCAATTAAATTATAGCAGTCAATAGTGTAGGTTTGGCCTTAGTTAACAAGTTAAACAGTAACCAGTACAAGTCTGTGTACACGGAATGAAGATCCCAAACATGGCAGCCATACTGCTCATTCAGAGCATGTGCCAAAATGTTTCTCCTGCTTCCTGTGCCCCCTGTGCGAAAGTGTCTTTCTCTGGCTGAGCCTGGCCCACTGCCTGCGTACATGAATAACATGAAAATAACTTGTTATTACAACTCTTGGTAGCTTCTAAATAACCATTTTCCCCAATTTTTCGAAATTAAAAGAGTAAGTTAAATGTGTGTGACGATGAAGACTTTTCTTAGCTTTGTAGCTGCTTCTTTTCTGATGGTGTTTATGGCATAAAGTCTTCTCTGGGTCCCAGGGTATAATTGCTGCGAAGCCCGTTGATTCTTGGAGGCTTGAACCAAATCCCAACAAAAAATCTGTGTGCTGTTTTGCGTCTAACGATGAAAACCAGGAGTTGACCTGACTTTCTGCTATTAGTTCATCTTAGGTACCAGCCTTATATTTCTGGGTGATGTCATATGCCAGAATGATGAGCTAATAGCAGACAGACAGTTTATTACCTGCTTTTCACACTGTTTATCCTTCAGTATATCATTCCTTATCAGTTGTGATGTTTGTCAACTTAACCTTGTCTTTTTTAACCCCCATGTATGTCTTTATCAGTTTAAGTTTGAATCAATTCAGGTATGATTCCACCAACACTGTTTTAAATTTCAGGGAAAATGTATATTTTCATCAACTTAACAACTTTTTTTCCCATCCAGCATTGTTCCAAATCCCCTGATCCACGTTCACAATAACATATTTATTTAGATAAACATGCATAATTAACATTGGTAGGTTTAAAAAAGGTAGGCAGTGCTTTTGATGTTAAATGATATCTGTCTTCTGTTTCGCACAAGTAATTTTTCAAAAACCAAGGGGTAGACAGACTTTTTCACTGCACTTCACATACTGTCTGTAATAGGTTTGCACATGCCTGCCTGTTTTAATTTTACGCAGTACTTGCATGATTAAAAGGAGTCAGTTACTCTTCCAGTTTTAGTTGGAGACTCACTTACGGAGGCCTGAATAAAGATTTTCCCTTTTCCTGCTTTGATTTCCTGTTTTCTCTCTGTAGGTGCAGCAGGTTCAGCATGTCTACCCGTCCCAGGTCCAATATGTAGGAGAAAGTGGAGAGACTGTTTACACTAATGGAACTATGTAAGCAATGTTACATTACTCCACAATTATAATGAAGGAAAACAATACATGTTTTTATTTGTGTAGTTCAAGTACACTTTGAAATAAAGTTTAATTCAACCCAGTGTAACATCGGATTGTGTTGAAATAGATTATAGTAATAACAGTAAAAGATAACTATTTTGTTTAGTTTGTGGGAGTTAAACATGTCAGCCATAGTTAAAAATGCCACTTTGTCAATAAAATAATTTAAAACTGTTTTTATTTTTCAAATTAAACAGACACAGCACTGTCCAAAATATTTGGCTGCTCTCCAAATGCAAAATTAATCTTGAATTATGAATAAATAGGTGGTGGATTAAAAAGCATAATGACAAGTAAGACATTCCAGACCACTTTTCTCATCATTTTAGAATTCAAGTGCTTTTAAAGTGTCTCTAATTAAAATGCCATTAAAGCTAATTGAAGCCAAAGTGATTTTTTTCACACGGTTTGATGTTTAATTTGACTCCAGCATAGCCAAATATTTTCATGACATCAGTTATATTACCGTTTGTGTCAACAAGATTATCAGGGTGTCTGCAGGCTCTTAAAAAGTCTTAAAATGGCTTAAATTTGATTTTTATAAGTATAAGGCCTTGAAAGTTATTAAATATTCTTAAAAAAAGTCTTAATCGCTACAAACATTTTATTATTTTCATTTATCCATCTCATAATTTCTTTTATTCAAAATGAGTCAAACTCTACTGCTTGAAAGTTTCAGATGTTACAAATTTTTTACCCTACCAATGGACCTAATACTGTCTTTTTACTTTATACTTACATTTACCTGTTGGCAAAATGTAGATTAACCCAATTGACTGTAATAACCATATTCCTACATAACACCCACCTACAATAAAATAATTGACAGATTAATCGACAATTAACTAATTGTTAGTTGCATCCCTGCTTACCTCTATACTTACCAAAAATGTCCAAAAATACTTGTCTAAAAATCAGTCTTAAATTTGGTAAAAATTATCTTGAAAGGCCTTAAAAATCTTAAATTAAAGTGTCTGATACCTGTAGACACCCTGATTATCCTGTGTATAAACAGTACTGTAATCCTGTACCCTTGCACAAAGAAGTGAAAATCAGAAGAGTATAAATGCTCTCCATCAGCCTGTGTGTACTTTGTTTAGCATCATCATAAAAAAACATCACCGACAGCTCATGACAATGATCTCCCCCCAGCCGAACAGCCTACTCCTACAACCCCGAGGCTCAGTTGTATGGGCAGAGCAGTGGGGGAACCTACTTTGACTCGCAGGCCAGTGGAGCTCATGTCACCACGGTGGTCTCCTCTGCCAGTGGTGGGGTGCCCCCTCATGGCATGGTGGGCATCGCTATGGACGTGGGCAGCAGCCACATCATCTCCAGCGGAAGCACCTACCTGATTCATGGAGGCAGTATGGAAGGAAGCCGCAACCACATATCGCACTCATCACGCTCCTCCTCAGCTATGGTGAGCAACACTCATACCAATGTTTCTGTGGTACTGTGAAGCACCTTTTTTCCAATAGAATGGGTAAATGTGCCGGTAAAACAACAAACTGTGACTCAGAGGTTTACACCAAACAAAAGATTGAATAACTGACCAAATATACTCTGGGGATTGTTTGTCTTTTCTCATCTGCTATGTGCCCAAATTCAAGTTTCTTTTCTCTGAAGTACATAAATTAGTTGTTAGTACTAACTCCTAGTACGACATGGCTTACTGAGCAGAGATCCCCACTAACATATGGTGTTGTGAGACGCACGCTGGTGCTAGCTGTCATCACCGCTACCTGAGCCTGTGTTCAGTCTGGCCAGGCTCCCGCACAAGCCTGAAAGGCAGGGAGAGACACACAGGGTTTACAGCAACCTGAGTTGGGGCCTCCTGGCTTTGCAGTAACACACAGAGAGCAGAGCAGTACAGGGCAGAGAGCCTGTAGAATCGGGACACTGGCTTAAATAATTCAGCACTGCCTTGTTTCAGAGGTTTTCACAGGCACTTGAGCGCCCTGCGAAACAAAGCAACCCCTGGGGCTCATTACCATTTGGCCATGAGCCCTCTGGAGCCTTCTTAAGGCTTGGAACGCTGCCTGCTTCTTTTTCCTTTTCTTCTGTGTCTCCAGTTTGGCTGCAATACCACATATCTTTTCTTTTTTTGACTTGATTTTCTTCTACGGCTCAACAGAATGTCCCTGGTTTTGTCATTCACTTTGCCCGCCAGTTGGACTCCATTATTTTTTGTTTTCCAAAGACAGAATAATATGCTAGTGTATTTAATGCCATGACACTCTTGCTTCTGTTGTAGTTACAACTCACTCTCTGTGATTTTTAGTTTTTCAAATATTATTTCTAAGTTACATTGTTTGATAAATTTTAGGGATGGAGCGGGGTTGGGTCAGGCCTTGTTGACCTATTGTTCTCAAACTTGACGTGACCTGTGCCCCTGTTTGTGGTTCCTATTTGCATACATTAGAGTGTCTGACCACAAACCTTCACTGAGCAGCTTAACCCAATGAGTCCCTTGATTTGCATGCTTTTGTGAGCCAATAATGGATTTGGCTACAACACTGACTGATTTTAATGGAAATGCAGAGATCTGGCTGCTCGCTAACAGTCTTATTTCCTTTATCTGTTTTTTTTTTGTGTGTGTGTGTGTTTTTCTTCATATACCCCTGCTTATTTCTGTCCCCTTCTTCTATCTCTCTCACTCTCCTGCCTCCTCCTTTCTCTGTGTCCACTTTTTCTTCTTTTTTTTTTTTGCATGCTTCTTTCTTTAGCTTGAAATGGCGATTGAAAACCTCCAAAAGTCTGAAGGAATTGCAAGTCACAAAAGCAGCCTGCTCAACAGCCATGTAAGTCAACCAGGAACTTTCTTTGAAAAGGACATGAGAGAAAATTAAAAACAACAACAACAACAACAACAAAAGCCCTTAGCATTTAGGCAGTGTGTTCGAATTGTGTTCTGCAAAGTTAAACACACTACCTACTGCTAGCTTTACATTCTCTGCACTGTCCCACTGACATGCGTAATTGTCTGAATTAGCTTTCATCCTTGATCTGAACTTGCATTGGCTATCACTTTTGCTTAATAATGCATCTTGAATATATTTCTTAATACTCTGCATGGACTTAAATTGATTGGTTTCTGTTTATTTCACTTCTAAGTGCACCAAGACATGCGCTCAGTGTCACAAAAGCTTACTGCAGTATTACCTTTCCTCTGTGTTGAGAGGCTGTCACTCAAACGTATAATGAAATTGAAATAAGATTTATGTAGTATTTCTATCCAGACTTTTACTCACATGGGAAATTTGTGGTTTAGATTCATTCCCTACATTCCAACTCTTAACCTCAGCTGTGATCTCACAATCTCCACATCATTTGTATGAATAATGTCTGAGGTATCTGCTTTAAATCTGATTTGCAATTTTATAATTTGAGCTTTTTATGCAAATTCTTTATGAATATGCTGTACCAGACAGAGCTATCACTTTGTCCTCCTTAATAATAACATTCTTGGAGACATGTCCGATAGAATAAATAGCACTTCAGATGTTTGAGTGTTCACTCAATCAGCCATGCTTTATGCTGTAGTCACGTACTGCATCAGTCAAGAATATGAAGGCCTAAGGGTAGCCACAGCCGGAGAGCAATGGTCTCATCAGTTTTTAACCTCTTAAAACAGGTCATCATGCAATATGCGTGTGTAGGAGTGTGTGTGTGTGTGTGTGTGTGTGTGTGTGTGTGTGTGTGTGTTATCTTGTCTTTTGATGTGATAATAAGATGCACTGCTCCTCTTCATTTCTGGCCAGATGACTATCACAGAGAAGAGTTCATTCTCTGGTGCTTACTCATTGTGTGACTGTGTCTTCTTCTGTGTGTTTTCAGCTGCAGTGGCTGCTGGACAACTATGAGACAGCGGAGGGAGTGAGCCTGCCCCGGTGCTCTCTGTATAACCATTACTTACGGCACTGTCAGGAACAAAAGCTGGATCCGGTCAACGCAGCCTCCTTCGGCAAGCTCATCCGCTCTGTTTTCATGGGCCTGAGGACCCGCCGCCTCGGCACCAGGTACAAACAGGAAAGGGTTGTTGCCGATGCCGACGATTCTGATAACTGTAATCATGTAATCATTATAGATGTGACGAGTTTGATGATGCTTATAGGCATTGGAGACTTGCTGATGGAAGAGGGTAATGATAGTGATTACAGTGATGGCAAGTCTTCTCCTCCTCACTGGTTTCTGGCTTTTCTCTCATGAATCTACCAGAGGCAACTCTAAGTATCATTACTATGGCATCCGGGTGAAGCCAGACTCACCGCTGAACCGGCTGCAGGAAGATACCCAGTACATGGCCATGAGGCAGCAGCCTGTCCACCAGAAACAGAGGTCAGCACTCTCTCCCTGTCTGCTATTTTTAACTTTTCCTTTGCTTTGTTCTGCGGCTTGTCACATTGTTTGTCACATCCTATGCCATTTTGTTTTTTATTTTGTCAGATGGCAACAGTTTGTTCTTAAGTGTTTCTTGAATTAAGATCACAAGTTAAATTTAAATTTAAAATTTAACTTTTGATTAGGGATGCACCGACTTATCAGCCAAACATCAGCATCTTCTGATATTCGCCTTTTTGACTGCCAGCGGCATATTGGCAAACGAGGACATTCACCACTGGCAGTGGCTTATGTTTTTCTGTTGTGTCACATTAATTGTGCACAGGCTAAAAAGAGCCGTTCAAAACTAACGGCTTCCCAGGGACAATAGACAAAGTGTTTGGGATGAACAGAGATCTTCCCCGGGATGCCATAGGGATGAAGGGATGCAGTAAACTCATTATTGACGCATTTTCCCTGATAAAGTGACACTGTGAACAGCAAATCTGTGTTAAAATCGGCAGGAGAGCTAGTTAACTGTGGCCGGAATTAACAGCTAGGAGGCTAGAATGTTAACTTGTAAAATTTTGTTTCTAGTGAAAAACTTGAATAGATACAGTTGTATGAAGGACAAAATTGTTCATGTTTACACAGCAAAATAAAACAGATGTTAGAGAGGGATTTATGATAAATAAATAGTATGTATAGTTGTCAAGTCAAAATCTTGTTTTTGCTGACCTCCTTGATGTCTCTCACCTTGCTGCAGTGATGTAGAAGTGTACTCCTAGATGTGTCAGTACATCATGACATCACTGTTGGCTGTGGCTACAGGATCAACAAAGCACACTTCTGACCACACAATGTCTCAGAGGTGAAAGAGACTTGAAACTTTGAATCAGAGAGGACAGTGGAAAAAAATGCTTTTTAGCCCCGGGTTTAAGTTACTCTTCAGTGTTCTCTGTAGTTTGTATGTATATAGGTCACTTCTGCATTGTGTTTTCACTATGAATGTATTGGTTTTCACCCATGACACACCTACCAAGCTGAGGCAAACATTTTGCACTGATGGGAAGAATCATTTTAGTAACTCGAAACAACTGTTTGCGAATGCTATTTTCCTTTTAAACACACCCCTGGTTATTCACTAATTCAGACTTTGGTTGAAGATGTGCTTATGTGGGAGTTGATTGTGTGGGTTTTCATTGGAATGAAAACCTACATAGCCCTCAATGGCACATTCTTTCATATTCCTGCCTTCTTATTCCTTTAAAAACCAGCTAACATACCTGCCGTGTCTCGTAATGTGTGTGTAGGTTCAAACCTCTTCAGAAGGTGGACGGTATGTCTGACAGCCTGTGTGGGAGCTCTCAGCACTGTAACAGCACTCCAGAGCAGTCCGTGGCTGCTCAGAGTCAACACCACCAGCAGTACATAGGTAAGGACAGGAGCTAGGTGGTTGCCACGACAACTAGTTGTCTACAAATGATTGACACTTAAGATTAGAGAAGTGTTTTAAAGTCTCACTACTTCTTTTTTTCTTCTGATCATTTTCTGATTCCATCTTTGATAAAGTTACAAACTTTTTACCTTTTAATTAAATCAGTGCCTGTGAAATCATATGTGGCACAGCTACCGCCCACATGTTGGCTTTACTCAAACATTAATTATAAACACATGCAATAACTGTCAGAGTGGTAAAATTAACTGTCAAACATCTTGTTTGTTGAGAAAATTATAGGATATGTGTTTCTTTGTTGACACTAGATGATCTGGCCGTACAACTTTCTTGTGATTTCAGTCTCCAGGATCCATGAGTCTGTCTGTGTGTGTCAGGGTGAGTGAAATGAGTGACACCTGTCTGCTTTTTTACTTTATGCAGATACGTCCCACACCTTGCCTCAATTTCCCAACCCTGACTTGGGCACCCAGCCTCTGCCTGAGCGTATCAACATGAATGATATCAAGAAGCTGCAGACACTCTACAGAGACCACTGCGAGGTAGAGCTCTATGAATATGTTTGTAACCGAGGCCATGTTGACGTCTATATAAATGGAACAGCTTTAAAGGGGACCTCCTCTAATTTTACACATGAAAGTCTGTTTACAGGTCTTTGGGAGTACTACTGCATATGTGGCTTCAGAGGGAGCTAACTGAAGTTTGATTGTCTCAAGTGTAACATGCTTCTTTATTGATCACTGGCACTGTTGTTTATTCCAAGTCGATCCCACAGACATTGTCCCGCTGCTGTAAATAGAGCACCAACATGTATAAATCCATTGCTGAAAATGGTCCTCTAAAAATACACAATTTACTCCTTGTTTGAGTATCATTTGGTTAAAACAGTTCTTAGCTGTTTAAAAAAATACTGAACCTTTTTATAAAAAAAAAACACACAACTAACCATATTTGTGATGTGACCCATTTTTTTTAAGATTGACTTTGAATTAGTTAATACTTTTTATTAGCAATAGACCAAAACAATGTTGATTTGGACTTTTCAAGGGATTTCTTGACAACCTGCAAAATCTAGAATAATCTTGGCCTTATCGTGGTGACTTGGTTTGATAAGGGCTGATACATATCCTTAAAAAAAGAGGCAAAAAAATACAGCAAACTACAGCAGTCAACAGGTGTCTGGCTTTGAGCGTTTATGAGGAACTGTATTTAGGAAAATGTATGATGAAATAGCTATGAAGAAATGGTATATTGCGTAATGACATTTCACTGGTTGCAGGGCATAATTCATAGTCTCTTGGTTGGACAATGAATTCGAGTAGGCAGAAGAATAACTCTCCGGGATGAAACGGATTGGCAGTGAAAAGAGTAGAAATAATATTGAACATTAAAATTTGGGGGCTTTACAGGCAGGAAAGAGGCTGTGATTAAAGCAGCGAAGCTCTGGCTTTATCATATTATCCCTGCCCTCCCCTTGTCCAGCCTCACCACGCTCCTTTTGTTCCAGCCGTCTTTTCATCTCTGTGCAGCTTTCAAGACATGCCAATTAACCTTTCAGCGCGCTGGGTGGACATCTTGGTGTCTTTGTGGTGGCCTCCCCTTGGGCCTTTGTGCCGCCTTGTCTGTGGACAGGCACATGGGCTCCTGTCTTTGTCTGCCAGCGCATTTCTGTCACTCTCACAGCTCTCATTGCCTCTGTCTGTTTAATGTTTATGCATTTTACTTTTTCTCCTTTTTTTTCTGAGCCAACAGTGACCTGTTAACACATTAGCCAAGACTTTTTATAAATATCATTTAAAGTTACAGCACAAATAAAAATAACAAGTTGGCTCAAGAATTAAAAAAAAAAAAATCTTATTTCTTATTTTACCTTCATGTAGTTTAAGGAGTTTGTGAGCAGGGCTGTAAATGGACTTGTATCCACTGTCAGGCATGTATTTATAAATGTCATGGTAACAGCCAAATATTCAGGTATCAGCCATGCTATTAAATTAATGTTTAAACACAAATGATTAGGTGTTTAATAAAACTTCAAGGGTAATAAATCACACCATAAACCACAGTAGTTGTTGTGTGTGTGCACAGATGTGAGGGGTTAAGATTTGTGGATCTCTGCTGCCTGCCACTCGTCTGTGTGTGTATGACCGTGCATGTGAACATGTGGTATTTCTCCTCCACACTTTTTTTTTCTTTTCTTGAAGGCAAGTTGTTTTTCCTGCGTGGCGCAAAACTGCGGAGGCAAAACATTCTTGTTTAGAGGGGATGGGGAATTCTCCTTTTGTTTTGGAGTTCTGTGTTTGACCTGTTGCTTGGGGCAACCGTAAACAAGGTTGCCATGGCAACGGCTGGAGAGGAAGCAAAAACATATCATGTGATTGAAGCCTACACTGCTGTGTAACAAGATCCAGCGGCAAGTGCATGTCCTGCCAGATAGAGAAAGAAGAGAATCTTTGGGCACGGCGTGAATCATACGCTCGTACTCAACTGACGCTCAACGTAGAGATATACTGAACTGTTTGAGCTCAGAAACAAGAGAGTTTGACCTCTGTTTCATGTGGAGTCAGGCTGACGTTTGCTCCTGTGAATGTCCTCAGCAACTTCTACAGCGCTGGTTTTTATGTCTTACTTTGATATATGTGTTTTGGGGTTTAGAGTTTATCTGTTAACTCTTTTTAGAACCTGGTTACTGCTTTTTCTGACTCACACTCAAGCTGTAGTTTATCATTTTAGATCACCAGCTAGCCACCGCTTCCTTTGCACTCAGTGTTCACTTGTGTGCAGTATACTCTACTTTCTAAGAGCCTCATACATATGAACAGGAAAGAGGAAATCACATGGGTTAGTTCGGGTCAGCGCCTCGTCACTAAAAGGAGGCAAATGCACACATAAATCTATGTGACTAATCTGCCTGATAAAGGAAACCAAGTTGAAAAAAAATAAGTGAGTGAAATCAACTAAAAAAAACCCCTCCAGATGAAGCCTGAACGTGGCCTTTAGGATCCTCCTGATGATTAATGTGCAGGGAGTTGTGTTTGAGCTGGCTCATTGTCTAACCAGGAGGGCCTGGAGTGAGCGAGAGGCTGCTTGCCTGCCTGTAGAAACTTTGTTGTGTGTCTGGTTGCCATGGTTCAGCTCTGTATGTTTTGTCCCCCCCTTCCTCCCTCTCTTCTCCCTCCCCCTCATTCTTTTACCCCCTCCCTCCCTCCCTCCCTCGCTGCTCTCCTGCAGGCTACTTTGGATGTGGTGATGAACCTCCAGTTCCACTACATTGAGAAACTCTGGCAGACTTTTTGGTATTCAACACCGCCATCTAGTGATGGAAATACCACCATTCCCAACAGGTCAGATCACATATACAGGAATTTCACTGTTAAAAAGAAAACTGTTACTTAATTTTACATGTCTCAGCTAAATCAAGTCTTCTGTTTTAATAGTATACCAAGTCAACAACTTGAACCTTTTTATTGAGTTTCATTTTTTCCTCCTGTCTGTGTGCAGTGATGATGATCTGGAGGGTGTGATCCCCAGAGAGAAGCTGGTGGCTCTGTGTAAATACGAACCAGTCAGACTATGGATGAGGAGCTGTGACCACATCCTGTACCAGGCTCTGGTAGAGATCCTTATCCCTGATGTGCTGCGTCCTGTTCCCAGTCAGTACTATTGATATTTTAATTCATTAAGATCTTAATAAGATTATCTTTAACAGGATACTCTGTTTGGAGACATTTGTGCATGTTGTCTGTGGTCCCAAAACCTCTGAATACACACTGATGAAGTAATACTAATCCAGCACAGTCCAAGTCCCAGGATTCTCTTTGCATCCTCAATAATACACTAACACCACACCCAACAGTACAGTCCAATTGAGTCTTTTATATTGCAGTTGGCTGCATTTTCACTACTCTACTTACAATGCTTTATACACAGTTAATTGAAGTCAAGTCCCTCAATAATCCAGCCTGTTCTCCCACCTTTTTTGTGCAAGCCAATAGTGTTAACACATTAGCCAAGGCTTTTATTGAGTTATTAAGTTAGCACAAATAAAAAGTAACAAGGTGGCCTAAGCATGAGACAATATCTTATTTCTTACTTTAACACATAAGTACTTTTAAAGGAGTTTTTGAGTAGTGCTGCAAACAGATATGTATCCACTGTCAGGCATATTTCTATTAATGTCATGGTAATAAGTCAAATATTCAGGTGTCAGCTGTGCCGTTAAATTCCTGTTTAAACAGCAATGATTAGGTGTTTAATAAAACTTTGTAAGTAATAAAGGGTTTTGTCAGTTTGTAATCCAGGCTGTTCTGTTTCTTCAGGCACTCTCACTCAGGCCATCCGTAACTTTGCCAAGAGTCTGGAGGGCTGGCTGACTAACGCCATGACCAGTTTTCCTCAAGAGATTATTCGCACCAAGGTAATAGGGAAATCTCAGCGACAGATCATTAAATCTGTCACATTTCTTCGCACCTGTGATCATCTCATGCAGCTGTCTGTGATCCATTTGTGGCATGTGTTACTCTGCACAGTCCCTGCCACCTCTGTTGATTCGATCTATGCAGTAAAGATCGTTTATGTAGATGCAAGATATGTCATCTTATTTTCACCACGTTAATTTCTACCTGAAATATGAGTGGATGTGCATGTATGAAATGTTGCTCAATCCAGTTACACAGGAAACTCATCAGTGCCAGAAGCTTTAACTTTTTGTACTTGTGATTTTTATTTGTATACATATTAAATGAGGATTGTTCGAGGGAGCCTAAGATCTAAGATACTCATTGCCAAGCACTGCTTCACTGTAATTGTTTTGCATATGACAAATAAATAACTTGAGCACAGAGAACCCTAGTAGAAACCAAAACTGGTCCCATTTAAGTCTGACATAATTTGGTTATGATAATAAAACATAAAAACCTCGAGTGACATAAACTTTTAGGATGACTCTCTGTCTCTGGCTCTGTGGTGTAGGTGGCGGTGGTCAGTGCGTTTGCCCAGACACTGAGACGTTACACCAGTCTGAACCACCTGGCCCAGGCGGCCCGTGCCGTCCTCCAGAACACCTCCCAGATCAACCAGATGCTCTCTGACCTCAACCGGGTGGACTTTGCAAACGTCCAGGTAAACATGTCTGACAGCTTCCCTGTTTACTCAGCATCAAGGCTTCATGTCAAAATGTCAGATGGTGCAGACTGTTGACTCGTGTCGACTCTCTCTCTGCTTTCCGTCTCTCGCTGTGTTTTGGTTTCGTGCTGAATACGGTTGGGTGTGTTTGTTGTGTCTACCAGGAGCAGGCATCATGGGTGTGTCAGTGTGATGAGAGTGTGGTTCAGCGTCTGGAGCAGGACTTTAAGGTCACCCTGCAACAGCAGAGCTCTCTGGACCAGTGGGCTACCTGGCTCGACAATGTGGTCTCTCAGGTCCTGAAGCCTCACCAGGGCAGCCCCAGCTTCCCCAAAGCTGCACGCCAGTTCCTGCTCAAATGGTCCTTCTACAGGTACGAAGGGGGAACAGTTAGGCTGTTGACACTTTCCTTAAAATCACTGCAAACAGCATTTTATGGATTATCTGTTTGTTTCTCTCTCTCTCTCTCTCCTTCCTGTAGCTCCATGGTGATCAGAGACCTGACCCTGCGCAGTGCAGCTAGTTTTGGCTCTTTTCACCTGATTCGCCTGCTCTATGATGAGTACATGTTTTACCTGGTGGAACACCGTGTGGCGCAGGCCACCGGAGAAACTCCTATTGCTGTCATGGGAGAGGTATGAAGGAAGATATTTATATATATCTGCTCTGCTCTGGTTGTAAACAACACTTTAATGATGATGATGGAAATGATGTTGAAAGTTGTTGTTTTGTTGACTAATGTGCTCTCATCTCTTGAATCACAGTTCAGTGACCTGACTTCTATGATGCCTTCACTCATGGAAAAAGGTAAGCCTTTATTTACAGTGCTAGTTTTCATATTAGTCTTGGTGTGTCCTAGCTAACCAGCTCTGGGTTTAAAAAACAGGTAAGAAAACAGGGTAATACTGATAATAGTGGTAATCATGGTTCAACAAAGCCAGACTTAAGCACAATGACATTTGTTGACATTGGTATCCCTCACTTTGATCACTCTTACCTTAGAGTGTGTCTAGATTGAAGTATGTAAGATAAAAAAAACAAGTTAATGATTGTAGAAACCCACAAAAAGAGGATCAATCACCCAAAAAAACTTTTCTTCTTGTGAAAAAACCCACCACAGTCTCATTCTACAAAAACTAAACTGCAGATTACATGTTTATTTTTATGACTATTTGGTAACTTCTTTTTCATTTAAAACTGTTTGTTGTGATTATATTTAAAATGTGTTTACACTCTTATCCACAAAGGGATGTGTAACAAAAAAGACTGAAGATTGAAGTCTGCTTTTAGACATCTCTACTGTTTAGTAGAGGCTCATTATTTAAAAAACTGTGTTGTCAGTTGAGGAATAACAGGACTTATGTTGTCCGTGCCCAAAGGCACTGTGGGTGGGAGCATTTAAGAGTTAAAGACTTCCGTCTGCAGCAGGAATCAATGGGCTCGGGACTGAGAGCCACAGACAGGGTGGGGAGGTCAGACAGTATTGATCTCAAGATGCTTTATGTATAATCCTTATTCTGACCTTTTATATTGTGGTGATAGATTAGTGCTGCAGCTTTAAGCCCAGCTGTATTTGTCTTTATGCTTCTTATAATCCCACACTGGTTAGTAATGTGAACGGTCAAATGTCAGCTCTCATCCTAATACTAAACTCCAACTGTTCCCTTTCTCCCTGTGCCTCTAGATGCATCCTTCTCTGATGAGATGAGTGACCTGGGCAGTGATGCTGACGCATCCAGAGGGCCTACTGAACCTGCAGTGAAAAGAGAGAGGATTGAAATGAGCCACCCACTGCAGGAGATGTGAGTCTGGTCTGAAAGGGGCCGGATTGAAAGCCACTACGACCAGCATCTCTCCCTGAAAAGGTGACACTAAAGTGGCTTCGGGGCCCTTCGGGACGCAGCGGCTTTTTTGGGCCGAGCACACTGCGTCCTTCTGCAGTCAGTGTGTGCAATGTACATAGAGAAGAAAGTAGCAGTGTCAGTCCTCCCCTCACTAGCGTTTATAAGGACAGTGATTTTTCTTTCAGGAAGCTCACATCTGTTTTTGTTTTGTTTTGTTTTTTTTACTCACAGGGGTGTAACACAGGTCTGATTTTCTTTCCGTTTTTGTTGCAACTGTGAATGACTTTGTGCAGTACCTTTTTATTGGATGTGTAACCTTGAGTGGTGGTATGTGGTGTTTGTGAGTCTTCTCTTTTTTTTTTTTTCTTTTTTTTCTTAACTAGCTGTGCCATAGTGTCATTTGAGTGCCTTAGATCACTAACTTTAAAACCACCACTACAGATGTCAATCTGTCCCTCAGCTGTGCCTCTACCGCAGTATGAATGTATCGTCTCCAAACCTCAGACATTCAAAGCACCTTTAACATTGATTAGGTGTAGGTGTGTATACTCCTTGTTGCCTCTGCTGCAGCTCGCAGCAAACACACACAACAAAGAAAATAAAAATAAAAACAACATGCAACCTACTGACCCAAAGGACCTTTCCCTCAGTCATTCCCACCAGCTTAGCCACAGTCATGGCTCCGTAGGGCCTCATAGTCTCGCAGTAGTCAGGAAGGCAGGGAACTTAGTATGTTACCTTGGCTGTGTAAGATGTTGGTTTGTTTACCTCAATAGATTTCTATGCTGTTCGGCTCAGATGACATGAGGCAAGTATTAAAAAACAAATGTAGCCACTGTTGCAGTCTGTGTCTCTCAATCCTGTTTCATTTCATGTAAATAGTTGTCCACAAATGGTTTAAATCCTGTGACAGCTCCTCCGTGTGCTGCACGGATCCACAGAGTAAGTCCTGATGCAATGACTCATATGTGCAGACCTGTGGGGGTTCACTCAACTGCCACAGAGTTGGGAATAAAAAATAATCGACTTAATGGATATAGGATATTACAACCTAAACTGGAATCTGGTCTGTCTCATTGAGCCTCATTTTGTGATTAAAAAAAAAGTGGTTATACATTTCATCTTCGGAAGATAAATCAATATATGTTAGAGCGTTGGACCTGTAAAACCAAAACTCTTAGACAGAAAGAGGATCTCGTTGGCATCTGAGCCGGCACACGCTCCCCGACTTCAGATACTTTGACCTCATGCTGTTACTCAGATTAAAGTCTTATGTTCTGTTTGAATTAGATAGAAATATACAGTGTGTTATTTGGGGAGTTTGTCCATAATAAATTATATATATAAATATATATATAAATATATATCTTTGTATGATGTAGAAAGTGTGTGCTCTGTGGCCTTCAGTCTTTGCCTAATCTCTCTCCTCACACTGTACTTGGTTGGTCACGTTGTATCAGAAGAAAATGCTTTGATGTGTAATTGATTAGACTGGCGTGTGTGATAAATTTGTTTTCAATCTCAATTGTTCAATGTGTAAAATTCAATTATTACTGTGGCGTTACTGCACCCGAGTACGCTATTAAACTGTCACAAGAGAAATTCCTATTTATATGAACTATTCTGATTTGATTGACATCAGCTTTGTGTTGAAAATTGGTTTGGTTGATTTATTTTTCCCCTCAGATGATTTTGTTGTAGCAATGAGAATCCTTGAGCTTGAGTTATTTAAGGCTTTTTGTAACTTGTGCCTGTCACAGTAATTTGCCTTCAAGTGCTTTGGAGAAAAAAAAAGTAATTTCTGTGTGTACTTTGTAATGTTTTGTAAGGCTGTTTTAGATTTTTGGCGGAGGATTATTTTTTATTGAACTAGATTTGGTTCTTCTTACAAGTATACTGAACCCTTATTTTTGTGCATTTTTAAACCTGTTCTTGACTACACTTTAACTATCCTAAGGACAGATGATGGTCTGTAATAAACTGCATAGTTCAGCTGTATTTTGTACTTGGTCACAATGTGTAATAAATTGGTGTACACCAAAATGTTTGAGCACATTTATTTTTATCAAACATCAACATCACAAAACCTCTATTTGGAACAAACAGCAGATTTACAAACATTGCATTTTCTAAGGTTTGGTAGAAGATCTTTACTCACAAGTGACTCATTTGATCTTTTGAGATGCTCTAGAGATTTATTCCATATAGTATTTACATAATTGAAAAATCCTAGTTTCCATGGCAACTCAGTTCCAGACTTACTTTATTTTCCTTTCCTCTATAATTTAAGAAAAGTTCTGACATCTACCTCAGTTTGCAGTCTCAGAGCACAATGAACAGAGGAGATTGAATAGAAAAAGAGCTATCTTCCTGGCTCCTGCTAAAGGCAGGACTGAGTGTACAACACACACACACACACACACACACAACTTAAATTAGAGGAAAAGAAGAAGAAAAGGCTTGGTCCTAGAACAGCAGGACACTGTCAGAAGTAAGTGCACATTGTCCTTCAAGGCTGAGATGTCAGTCCTCAGTTTTAATGTCTTACCAGGAATAATCTCTCCTTCTGTCTGGCTGTTGACTTGAGAAAAAGTGTGAAGTCCTCTGAACCTGCAGCAATGGTCCTTTACACGATTCACAACGAGCAGCCGGCCATGTACTTCCCTGTAAAACAAAAAGGAAATGCACTGCCAAAATAAGCCAAATAGGTTAATAAAGAAGTCATATTATAGTATGTCAGAAATGTTATTTAAAAAAAAAAGTTATAGTATGTCATATAAAGCAATTTTAAAAAGCCATAGTAAAGTATGTCATTACATTTTGTAATAAAGTGTAGTATGTCATAAAGTCATAATGTTCTAAAACAGTTGTTGATAAAAAAAGTTATAGTAAAGTATATCATAAAAAAGTCATAGTATAGTATGTCATAAAACGTCATAAAGAGGTCATAGTATGGTATGTCATAAAAAGTCATAGTTCTGTATAGTATGCCATTAAAAAGACAAAAAAAGGTCATAGTATAGTATGTCATAAAAAGTCATAAAAAAGGTCATAGTATATTATGTCATTAAAGTCATAAAAAGTAGTATAGTATGTCATTAAAGTCATAAAAGTCATAGTATAGTATGTCATAAAAAAAGTCATAAAAAAGGTCATAATATAGTATGTCATAAAAAAAGTCATAGTATAGTATGTCACAAAAAGTTGATAACACAAGGCACATTCCCGCATCTCAGGGGGATAAATACACACGTCATATGTCTGAGTGTCTGTTCAGTGTCACCTGTGGCGAATCTCTTCTTGACCAGAGACATGCGGTAGCGGCTGCCCACCAGCTCCACGTCCATGCCCGACAGCGAGGCCCCGGAGCCCACAAACTGAACAGCCAGGCTGGGTGGAGGGCCTCGGGGGACCTCCAGGCACTGCCAGCTGGCACACAGAGTCCCTGAGCCTGGGACACCACCGACAGGCAGAGAGACACAGAGACATGAGGAACACCACTTCACAGCAATAACAAAACAAGACGTTATGTTAGCCATCTACATTACATTTAACAGTTCGACAGCAGTTTCAACATCATGAGCTTCACACTGAAATACAGCCATGTTACTGCTGTTATCAAGACATCAAAAAAAACTTTCCTTTTTCAACCACATTTAGCTCCGCCTTAACCGAGGAGTCTTATCATCTTTGGAAATGCCACAAACACTCCACATTCATAGATTTATGATGTGTGATAAAGACATGCAGCATAAAAAGGAATTTGAGTAGAAATGCTGAGAAGATTTAGGATACTGTACAGCTTCTTCTCAATCGTCGTCAAGCTGAGAAATGTCTTGTCCAATGTGGCTGCTTCAGTTTACAAGACGCCCAGGAAAATGAATTAATTATTGACCCAACACTGCCACACATTATTCATGTAGAGCAGCACTTTAACATTGTAGTGATAAAAGAAGCAGATTTTTCAGAAGAGGCAGGGAGGAGTTATGGTGACCTTTCAGTGCTTTGTCATTGGCTTATAAACCAGAGAAGTCCTCTAACTATAAACATTTTAACATCCAATCCATCACTGAAGGCTGTGAATAGTCTTTCTTTTTCTGCAGCTTCACATCGAGGTAATAATATATCATCACAAGAAAAAAAGAGCAAAATAAAAAGAAGCAATGTGGGTGTCTGATACAAAGAAGCATGCAGGTGAAGGAAACCTTGAGCTCCAGTTTGATTTAATTTTAGACTTTCCCCATCTTAAATTAGAGCCTTGAAAGATTCTTTTATACGCCGTCTCTTATCTGTGCGCCATTAGCGTCGTGAAATATGAGCAACAATCAATTTGACACAAAATAAAAGAGGAACATTTCATGCTTGTCTTTGTGTCGCCGGATGAGAGCAGCTGCCACGTTCAAATGCTAATGCTGCTGTTAAAAAGGTAATGATACGCCTTCAGACTTTGGCTTTTTAAAAAGAAAAGGATGTGGAGTGCAGAGATCTTAATTACTCATTTCTACATTTGTCTGACACAATGTGGAGATGTAAGCCCAACAAGGAGGAAATGAAGTAGAAAGTTCTGGCACTGTATTTAATGAGGAGGCAAATTGAAGAATCAGATGTCTGCTTATGATAGACACAAAACAGGCTGTCAGCTAGATGGATGTCAGCGTGTGAGTATGTGCATCTCTGTGAGTAGGTTTCCTTGTTCAATGAGGAGTAAAGAAATAAAAGCAAAGAGGCAAAACGAAAGCAGCAGAGCTCTGACCTTTGCTGTGATTGGTCGGGGAGAGGTTGGGGAGTTTCCACAGCAGCCGTCTTTCCTCAGCGTTCCTGCAGGGGACAAATTAATAGTCAGTGCAGCCTAACCTGCTTCTTCAGGCCTTTGCACACCACGTCCCTCTCTGTCTGTATGCAGTCTTAATCCTCAATGACATCCTCCTCCTCGTCATCATCTTCCACCTGAATGTTACTATCTGACCTGCTGAGAGTAGGTGTTATCTGAGTTGTGAAGTGATACTGTGCACTCTGTTCCTCTCTCTTGTTGTAGATGAATGTGTCCCGCAGGTCACGAGACATTTTCTTCACTGCTTCTGGGTCAGACACCCTTTTAAAGGCTTTTAAGGGCTGAGAAAAAACGCAGAATATCAAACCTCTTCCGAAAAACTTTAAAGACAGACTAAAGTTTCAGAGTCAAAAGGCCTTTCGTCTCCACCTTTTCCCTGTTCTGCATTACAGTCATCCTCACATTTTTAAATCGCATGTTACTGTTGATTATCAAGTGTTTTTCATTAATCACTTAGTGTATACTGTAGAATATCAGAAAATACTACAAAGTGCCCATCAGAACAGTTTTGTTCTAGATTACCAATTTAGATAGTAACACAAAAAACATAGACAACAATAAAACAACAACAACATATCCTCAATTTTGAGAAGCTAGAAACAAAAAATGATTGGTGTTTTTTAGCAGTCCCAGGGGTGAAACTATGGGTCATTCAGTTCACCACTTTGGCCCAGACTGCCATGATATTTTGTACAGGTATTCGTGTTCCTCAGAGGATGAACCATAATGACTTTGGTATTCCCTGAGTGAGACAGCTCAACAACTATTAGATGGACTGCCATGAAATTTGGTAAAATCAGTCATGTTCCCCATCAGGATTAATTTGTAATCACTTTAATGATCCTTTAATTTTTCCTCCAGCATCATCATTCCATTTTAATTGGACCAATATTTTGGTTTATCACCAAATACCTGCAAAACTAGCGACAGTCTCATCAGCCTCAGCTGTGTTTTCTGTGCATTCCAATACCCACAATACCATACTACATATTGTGCCAGAAAAACATTCAACATTGTCAAATGCAGTATGCCAAAATTTCTAGAACGTTCTTCTGTATCTGGGCACAACACAAACCAGCATGCTTTTCTAGCTATTTTGAACCACAATCCTCTGTGCAGTGAAAGATACATCACATCGACTGAGCTGCAAACAGATGACAGCTTTACAGCTTGTTGACAGCTGTCAGAAGCTGCAAAGATGGCTGCCAGTGCATTCAAGCAACTGGTGACCAGTCAAATACTATTAATAGGAATAGTAATTACCGGTATTTAAATGAACAAAATAATTATATTCATAGTTATGTCCTTTTGTTATAGGTAATATTTATAACAATGACAGACAAATGCAGATGTAATTTTACTGTTGTGAATATATGTTAGAATCTTTGATGAATGCAGTCATAACTTAAGAGTTACAACCATATGCACTAAAAAGTAAAAACAGCAGACCTCTCCAGGTTGACCTCCGTCTCTGACCAGCTTGGCAGATGATGTTTTGATTTATATCCAAATTAACACATATATGAGCAAAAGGGTCAACGAGCAGGGTGCAGTGTTATGACAAAGCAGTACATCCTGATTGTGTGCATACTGCATTCAACTGTGCGTACTTTGTAAGAGCAGCTGCAGTAACTACTGTAAGTAAAAAGAAAGGTATACTTTTGTGTTTTGTGCTAACTAGCAGATGATAGCATGCTTATGCACTAAACTGAGAAGGTTGTTGTTGCAGGAAGTTACCGCTGGAGTGACCTTACAAACGCAAGGAGTTACTCTGTTTGGAGTAGTCATGGCTGAATTTTTACCCAATTTTGACCAACTGGATCTGGATGAGCCATTTTAATTTGATGACTGCCCGTATTTATTTGAACACGGAGTACACGGACGTACACGGATGCAGAGCTCATTGAAATTGAAGAGCGGACGAGGAGAGAGAGGGAGCAGCAACAGGCAAAGGAACATGTCCGAATCCAGCTAAAGGTAAACACAGATGTTCATTTCTCCTTTCTGTTATGTTGTCGGATAATTATACTAACAATCCGAGATCTGTGTGAAAAAAATGCACTTTTGGTGGATGTATTCTGACGTTGTTTGACGCTGTCTGAGTGCCCTATTATTTAATATAGCGCGCGCTCACGGGCTGCAGGCAGGTCAGCCCTAGCTTCGTACTGGAGAAATGTCAAATATTGAACATCCTATCACTTATTTAGACAAAAGTAGATCGGAAAATAGGGCCCAGGTTGAAAAAAACATTAGTTCCCCTTTAACTCAAAACTGTTACGATGACTGTAGACTCTTTATCTGGTCAGAATCAGGATTGTTTCTTGATAAATAAACTGTTTAGCTGCAGCCCTTATATGTGCACTATTAAAATATATTCAACTGTGATAACAGCTATGTGGTTTCATAACTCACATATTATGATTACATGGTTCATTTCTAATTCTATTTGCACAATACAAATAATCTTGTTGATTATATGAATCTAGTAAATATCAGGGCAGACTCCTGCTAAACCGGTTACAGGCGACTGACAGTTGACAGTCAACAGAAGCTGCTTATTATCCGTCCATTACCACATCATCACTCACCAGGAGGCGGGTGGCTGGCACTGCAGGTCTGTGGCAGTGTGGTCTAATGGCAGCAGCACCTGGACAGCGGCGAGCTGGGTGGAGGGCGCGGTGGCGGGGCAGCAGTGGTAATCCAAAGACACCCGGGTCACGGTGCCGCTGCGCTGACACTCCGCAGACAGCAGAAGGGGAGCTCTACCCGGGTCCTGAGACGACACCTGAGAAAGCAGCGGAGACTTTTGAAGTTTAATTGAGTTGATGTTAAATTAAGAGTCCAGAGCAGGTTTGAGTTAATACACTTCTTATTAACCATAACATAGAGTCCTGCAGTCAGAGCACAGCAGAAATGTTACATTCGTCTACAAAGATAGATTAAAGTATCAGTAATGGAGAATACTCATTTGAAATCCTGACCTGATACTTGAGCAGACCAACGTTGTAGTACGAGGCCTGAGGGTTGAGTTCAGCCTCTCTCTGCAGGTAGAGCTGCAGAGCTTGCATGTTGAACCAGAAGTCTCTGGTGTCTGGGTCGCTCTGAGATGGATCACTGTAGAGATACAGAGACATGACGTCAAGGATCACATTATAGTCATTGAACACAGTTGTGACTCAACATGCAGAGGGCAGCTGACCTGTAGAGCAGCTTTTGATTTGGCAGGAAGTGATCAATCCTTGAGATGTTGACAAGCCTGAAGCTGAGCACGGGAGCGTTGGGGTTGGCTGTGAAGATCCGGGTGATGCCGGCAGGGAAGGACATCGTCAGGTCGCCCGTGATCTTCACCAGACAGCTGGAGAACGAAGGAAACGCACAGAGTTTAAATTAACAAGAGTACAACTAATAGGCATTATAGATGTCATTAAATAGGAACTCACATTTTACACATCCCTGTCAACAAAAGTGCTCCTCAGCTGACGCAGAGCATTGAATAATGCCCTACAAGGCACTGGAGGAGGCTTTTCAAAGTCAGGTAATAATCCTAATGATTTCACGACATTCTGAACAGAAAGCCTGGGCTACAAACTGGGTGTCAAAGACATGGGTGATTCTCAGACAGAGGAAGATGCAATCAACTGCATTCTGCAATAAAGTTGGGATATTTCTGCCTCTGCTGCTTTGATTCTGACCTTTTTTTCCTTCGTCTTCCTTTCACAAGTCCCCCATCTTTATGGTAATGCAATACTCAATCACTAAAGTACACCTTTAAAAAAACCACTCCACTGATTTGGCATCACACTCCTTAAAGATTGTCAGACTCAAAATGGACAGTTAAAAAAAGCATCAAAATTGATGCAGCAGAACCAGAGATATCTTTTCATATTCTATGTACTCTTCTTCTTCCTTGTCAAACATCTGCCGCCTACATTACCCACAATGCAACTCAACCACAGACAGTTCAGTTGGAGACATCACTTGAGACAATTTATCTTCACCTACCTCCCTCTGTAGCCATGAAAGGCTTTAAACAACTTTATTCAACAGACTGTGATGTGTAAAAGCGAGTAGTTCCCCTTTAAGATTAGTTTTTTTGTGATCTTCTTCTTTTTTTTTTTTTTTTTTTAAAAAAAGGTATTGTCATGCTCACCGGTTGTGTTGTCCACCTTTAAAGTAGGCATTTATATATTCTGTTATGGCTGCTGCCACTGGCCAGGCCTCCTGTGTGCTGAGGGAAATGGGGCTGGGGCCTCGTGACAGGTGCACTGCAGAGAACAGAGGTGATAAAACCGAGTCATGCTGTTAATACATAGCTGGTTTTACATCATTCAAGTCATGTTTAAAGTAGTAATCCAACATTTTGGGAAATGCTTTTCTTGCAGAGAGTCAGATGACAATATCGATACCATTCTCAGGTCTGTACAGTAAATATGAAACTAAAGGCAGCAGCTGCCTAGCTTCGCACAAATACTGGAAACAGCTAACCTGACTTTTTCAGGTAACAAAATCTGCGGGCCAACACCTTCTCATTAATGAACATGTTGTGTTTTGTTTAACCATTTCATTAAATTGCATTTTTTCTGGGGAGTTATGAGACAAATTATTTCTTGGATGCAGGGATGTTGTTTCCCTTCCCTCTGCTTCTTGTCACTATGCTTAGCTAACTGTCACCTCTTCACATTAAGCGTACAGACATGAGAGTGGTATCAATATTTTCATCTAACTCTCTTCAGGAAAGCTAATAAGTGTATTTTCCAAACTCTCAAATGATTCATCTGTCTCTCCATTCTGTAGCATAACTGTATTCACGTGCTGAGGCTTACACTGTCTTTGTTGATGGTCCTGGTGCTGGTAGGGCAGCGGTGAGGATTGGCCTGCCCTGGCAGGACTGGGCGCTCGGTTCTGACTCGCCCAGTCATTGTCCCTGGCCTGAGGCCCCCACTCACTGGGGCTAGAGGATGAGGAGGAGGTGAGGGAAGGGCTGGGCTCTGGCAGCGGGGAAGAGCACAGGGACCGGGACTGAAACACAGGGACAAAGCTGAATTAATACTGGTTACTGTTTTCATAGAGACGATGCTCAAACATTTATATTGAGGAGGGAATTTCATCAATTATACTCTTTACATGAATTTGATAATATGATACAATTTTGAAACATGAAAACCATTTTAAAGGTGATATTTACAGTATCACAGTATCAGAGTGAGTTTGACTCAAATAGGGCTAAAATAAAATTCCTGCAGCAAACAATTATCTGCAATCACTGACAGCTTTCTCTAATTTTTGATGCCCTTCACATCTAAAACAACAAAGTATTTAGGAAGCTCTTGTGGGGAAAAATAAATGAGACTTCAGGATTAAAGTTGTTTGTGATATTTAACACAGTTGTATCAATAAAAGAATGATTATTAACTCACTCTCTCGCAGCCGCTGAGTTGGCCTGAGGTCCTCTTGGCCCGGGCCGCTCTCTGAGGAGCAGCTGCGACCACTTCAGCTGTGTCCTGTCTGAAGTTATGCTTGGACCCTTTCAAACACATAGACACACAAGATGACTAAAAGCCAAATCTGAAATCACACAGCGAAACAAGATTATAGGAGACAGACATCCTCTGAAATCAGTCAGAAGTCGTGTTCAGAACAGCCGGAGACGAGCTGAGAGAGACGCGCTGCCAAACACAAGCTGGCACTAAACCTAAAAACATTTTATTTGTATTGGATTAATTGAGGGATTTAGCATGCTGTTGGTATCTGAATATTCTTCAGAAATTTTCCTCTTTATGAGAAAAGAACAAAAAAATTCTGCATCCCTCACACTCTGTTTACGAGCAACATTTCATAATTTGAATTCATGATATAATCTGAATTTTATCTGATTAAAAAGTGATTTACCTGTTAATAAAGTGAGTAGAAGGGATCGACAATGTTTAGGATTTCTTTGGTTTCTTTATTTATCTTTTACAGTCAGAGTTTTGACCCGATGTACTTGTCAATGGGACGTAGTGGAGTGTAAGAACTTTAAAGTAACTGCAATGTCTCTACTGAGAAAAATAATTATATATGGGAATATGCAGACTCAGACATTAAAAATGTACTTTGATATATATTTCTTTAAAGATCTAAGCAACTATGATGAAATGAGTATTTTTCTTTAAGATATTTTTTGGGCCATTTTGCCTTTAATGGACAGGACAGGTAAGCGTGAAGGGGGAGAGAGAGAGGGGGAATGACATGCAGCAAGGGGCCACAGGCTGGATTCGAACCCGGGCTGCTGCGGCAACAGCCTTGTACATGGGGTGCCTGCTCTACCACTAAGCCACCGATGCCCCGAAATTACTATTTTTCATATTATTAATAATCTAAACATAGTAAGTTACAGCTGCAATTAATAATTGTTTTTGATGATAATCACTGATCAGTTGATTAATTTATTATTTCTTCAAAAACTGTCAGAAAATAGCAGATATAACAAACATTTTTTCCCCACAATTTCCTGAAGTCTTCAACCAGATAACTGTTGGCAATTCTGCCTGACAAATTGTCAATTATTAATAAATTATCAAAATAGTTCCTGTCAATTCACAAATTAATCAGCCCTCAAACCAGTCAATCATCCTCACCCTGACAGCACGTGAGTAAATAGACCCTTGGTGAACTAATAACCATTAAACTATCTGAGCTAATAGTTTCTGTCATCATCCAGGTAATATGCATATTTAATTCTAACAAAGAAAGAAGTCCTTGCAGCTAATTTATCAACTAATAAAAGAAGGTTTAGCTGAATAAGCCCTTATGAACAACTGAGCAGGCAGGCCCCCGATAGGAAGATTAGGCTTCATGTTGACTAATTAAAAATGCTGTCTCAGTTCAGAGGTGAGCTTTTATTAGCAGTCAGAATTTAAGTGAAGTGTAGAAGAGTTTTTCTGCATCGTATGTGAAAGTGTTTCCTGGGTCGATGGTTTGACCTCTGATTTATCAAGGAGGCAGATCTAGAATACTAAACAGTTCATAATGTGTATGTTTTACAGTTACTATGGTTGGTTTTGGAAGGTTTTGGAAAACAGTAAAAACTCAGTGAATCTAACTTCAGGTCATTTTATTGTTATGGTTTTAATTTTTACTGAGAATATTAACTTATTTTCCACGATAGCCAACTTGTGGTATATTTACTGTATGATATTTTGATGTAGTTTAGCCTGGCTAATAGTTGACTATATGAGAAAGGACAACTTCCCGTTTTCGTTGATTTTTTTTCCCCCAGTCACACCATGACAAAGACTCAGTGTGGAACGAAGGTGGTCGATGTTCTCCTTTTATGGTGTTTAACCATATATGCTTGGCTCGACGGCAGTGTGCCTGAGGTGAGCTCAGTAGCTTCTCTTTTTCCTATAGAGTCTACCTTTCACTGGCCTTGACTACTGTAATGCCCCTCTGAACATGCAACCTCTGTAAATGGTCCAAAATGTCACTCCACTCGTCATTACTCTCCACTGGCTCTGTTGCTAGTCACATTAAAGTCAAGTCATTAATGCTTGCTTATAGAGCACCCACTAGCATGACATCCACCAACCTGGACTCTCTTTCATTCATTACAATCTGCAAATGAACACCTAGTAATCAAACAGTCACTTTAAAACTTCTACTGCTGCTCACTCGGTGGTGGAACGAGGCACTGAACTCCATTCAGTCGTCAGAATCATGCTCTGTCATTACAAATCGTATGAAGGCCTACCTCTTACTCACCAAATACATTCTTTCTTCCTCCCTCTTTATCTCTCGATTGACTTAAGTCTGATGCAACTGAGCATTGCAGCACTTATGCTTGAAGGCTTCTACTTGATATAGTGTGGCTTGGACTGTACCTCATTTGTAGGGTAGAGATAGCATCCTTGGACTCTTAGTTTGGAGGAAATGATTTCATGTTGGGACGCGTGATTTTTAGATTTCAATCATAGCTAAGAACCTCCTGTGAATGTGACAGGTTTTCTTTTCATTTCATCATATTGTTGACAGGGTGTCTCACTTTTGCATGTACCTTTTATCTATTTATGTATTTTCTACACCCTGTTTATTAATCATGTCTGCTCATGAAACCCTGTCATAATGAGTAAAGATCGACTTGCAGCCTGTCTCAATAAAAAAATTGAATGCCAGAAAAGAAAAAAGAAATCAGTACCCTTGTGTGAGGTGATACTGCACGATATCTGAGTGTTCAGATCCAGGCAGTCTTGATCTTTGTCTGTGGAAAAACACAGATCCTCCTGTGGTCCCGAATGCCTCGTGAGTGGAGGGGCGTTCCTGCGTGGCTCACTCTCTGATGATCGATGTTTCCTCCTCTCCCCTCCTCCTCCTCCTCCTCCCCCTCCCTCTCCTTTCCCTCCTCCCTCCTGTGTTTTGGAGCTGCTCAGCGTCCCAGAGACACTTTCACTAAACGGGTTGTGGACAGAGTTCCAGTGCATCAGCTCCTTCTTGGGCTGAGCTGTAGGCAAAGAGCTTGAATTAACATCAAGTACCAGCCTATTGCTATTGGTAGAGCCACCACCACTACTGCTGCCTCTGCTGCTGCTGCTGCTGTGTGCAGGGATTAACCCAGCTGCTGCAGCCAGCGATGACTGGTGCGTTGGGCTGCCAATCATTGTGATTGCAAACGGGTCATCAGAAGTAACAGGAGGCGGGAGGCTCTGGTCTCGTTTCCTGTCTCTGTCTTTACGATTGGAGGAGGAGGAAGAAGAGGAGGAGGAAGAGGTTGGGAGTGTCTTAGTGTCGACGAGGGCGATGGAGAATGGGTCCCCTCGCACCTCCATCCCCCTGCCCTCCTGGGTTGTGCGAGGTGGTGGGCGCGCCCAGGCATCAGACAGGTTTAAAGTCTCCTGGGTGACAGTCCTCTCAAACGCAGCGAGGAAGGGGTCCTCGGGGGGAATGTGTTTGCAGTTCCACACCGATGACTCCATCTCAGGTGGAGGAAGGGACTGGGAGAAAGCAGGGAACCGCATGGATGAGGGGTCCATGTCTGGGGGGACACGAGAGGGACGTGATGAGGCGATGGACCAGACGCTGGCAGGGTCGTCCTGCGAGAGAGGGCTCCGACCAGGGGAGGGGTCACGGAAAGCAGAGAGGAAAGGGTCCGGAGGTCGTCCCAGTGTTTGTGTCTGCTCTTTACTCTGTGACACAGGAGGCCAAGCCGCCCAACCCACTGGCTCAGGGGAGGGCCCAAGGGGCTGATGGGAAGGTGAGTCCAGGCCGGAGTCCTCGACGTTCTCCGGAGAGGAGGAGTCAGACGAGAAAGCGGCATCTGACACACACATTAAACACATTACAGGGTATCAACACTATGCAGAAATTCAGACGTTATCAATACCAGCAGTAAACAGAGAACTTGTAAAAATGTAATTGGACAAAAAAGTTCAAAATATCAAACATCTGAGCCTCATTTTACCAAATTGCCCCAAATATAACATTTTTTCCTGGATATTTCTTATGAAGAGTGGGGGTATATTAATTCTGAGCACTACACATTTACATATTCATAAAAGCAGGTGTTCTCTTTGAGCGGAGCAAGTACCCAAAAACCTCAAAGAGAGTCTGAAAAAATGATTCACAATCAGCGACCTCTTTATCAACAGGAAGAGAGTGCCTCTTTTGTCCAGCTATAGCCTAAATTTGGTCTCTCCAATAGCCGTTTCTTTTGTTTCCTGCAGGTTAAAAACGTTGTAAAGCAGTCTCTTGTTCAGTTTGACACGTTACCCCCTCCAACACACTTCCTACAACCACATCTCTCACATCCCTGTCTGTGAACATCTGATATCCCAATCTGTTGTAGTCATCTGAAGGAGGTTTGGAGTAAGGAAATTGGTTCCGACTTTATCTGATGAGCTTTGGGATGAAGGGATGGAGGATTAAAGAGCGTTCTATTAATGCGAGACTTCAGCCAGTTCACTTTAGAATGCCGGACCTAATAGGATCGAAGGACAATTGTAAAAAAGAAAAAAAAAGCTCATCCTTTCTGGGCTTGGGAGGAAATATTTCATTTACTCAGTATAATCATTGGGGAACTAATGGACCAGGCTGTGTACAGTACTTGCTGTTTTGAGATGTTCTGAACGCTCCCTAAAAGCTGCCATATGAGACCCAGAAGGCTTTAATGTTTTTTATGATTATAGCTAAAAGGGTTATTTTGAGACAATGGATATCTACCTCGCCTTCTTGTGTTAAGAAGTGGCTCACTGATATGATTCCTGTCTTTATTTAGGGGAGATTAAGTACTTGTCATCTGAGTCATACTGCACATTTGGGGTCCATTTTTTGATCATATCAGACAGCAAATCAGCTCGGTTGCAACTAAGTTGATTTACATGCCCTCGAGTGTGGCTTAATATACAGTTTATTTGAACAATCTTTACAGTCATACTCATTGTACATTACCAGACTTTCCTTTAATTTTAGTATTTGATGTTTAACTTTTGTGAGAGGATAAAGGACAAAGACCATCTTTTCCCAGGGACGTTTCCCACCAGGACTAGTCTGATTGTGGCAGTATTTATTTACATCAAAAAAAAGCAGTTGGAAAAGGGGAGGTCTTATATTTGGGCCAATACATATTCAATATGAACAGACAATGAAAATATTCTCTTACATTCAGTTGCACCAAAAGCGCTCTGCTCTCTGAGTTGTTCCCGACCATCAAAGCTTTTGGACTTGAAGGCCGATTCCAGCGGAGGTCCGAAGAGACTGTCTGAACCCGATGCCGTTGAACTTAACCTGATGAAGAACAAAGAGGGAGCGAAGAAGAAGATCAGGGAGAGTGAGAGCAGTAGAGTGATGAGGAGGAGATGTGATAAAGTGACAACAGATATGTGGGTGTAAGTGAGAGTTGAGGAAGTTGGGGAATTGTGAAGGATGAAAATAAACATCGTAAAACAGGAAAATAACCACAATCCAGCTCTAAATCCTGAGTTGTTTTTTTCTTCTGCATAACTGTAAAGTCTGTAAACTTTGTAATTGTAAATGTAAGAATAAAAATTAAAGAAACTGTATTGTAATGATTTACTGTCCATGATTTTGTTTTATGAAAACGTTCACACCAAACTCAGAGTTGTAACTCAAATAATATCTCCTACTTGGCAGGAAGAATTGCTGACATACCAACAAACCAGTGCATTGACCATCTTGGAATAATAAGTGAACACTCCCAGTTCAGAATACTGGGAGTTTTCCAGTTCTTGACATTCTGAATGCAGAGTACAGCATTTTATTTTCTCAATGTACAATTAAAATACAAAGGTCTACTCTGAGAGATTTGTGGCCTTCTAGTTAAAAAACTACACATCAATTTCTCTGAAAATTAGGAAAGTAACTCTTAAAGCCACAGTCGGTAACTTTTATAAAAAAAATAATAGCCTTTTTCATATTTGCTATAACTGTCACTATATTCACTCAGCACTACATGAGACAGATAAACTGTGAAAATCCAACTCCTCTGCCTACTCTATTGCCATGTAGCACTTCTAATGACCTTGCTGCGTGTGAAGAAAAACAACCAGAGCCAAGGAGTCTCTAAAGCAGCTGTCAATTACTCCGTGAAATGCGATTAATCTATCAAACTAAGCAGCCCTGATCAAATAGAAATTCAGATTCTGTAACTACATTACATATTTCTCACCTCAAATGTTTTCAGAAACATATTTTAAGGTACTTTTCAGCTGTAAAATGAGAAAATTTGTGACCTGGCCATGGAAATACAGTTAGACGGAGAACCAAGCTTCGCCCACAAGCCAGACCGGCTTTCTAATTTTACAGCGTAACAGTAGCTTACACTAAAATGTGTTTCTAAAAAAATATGAGGCAAGAAAAAGGCAATGCAGTAACAGACTAAATTCATATTTGATCAGCGCTGCCAAGTTTGACTGCAGTTCATGGAGCAATTGATATGACTGAAAGCTGCACTTGAGACGCCTTGGCTTTGACTGATTGTTGCTGCCGCACCACAATCTGATTCTAGCAAATGCCATTAGGAGTAGTGGGGGGGGAGTAGAGACATGATTTTTTTCAGTGACAGTTTCAGCAAATATGACACAGTTATTTTTATAAAAGCTACCAACTGTAGCTTTAATATGAGATAAACCTGTCCTCATTATGAATGAAATTACAGCATATGGCCAAAGACATGGTTTGGGCTAGGGCGAATGGTCTACAGCTTAGGAAACCTCCTCCATCTACACCTTTCTAATACTGGATTGGGAGGATCTGCCTCCAGAACTTTCAGAAACCAACAATCTGACATTCCTACCCGTTTCATACCATGATTGATCGGGTGAGTGGAGGTGAGAAAGGAGCCAGCACTTTAACCACTCTCTTTAGGTCTCTGTTCATTCTTGACACTATTTGTCACTTCATATGAACAGAGTGAAAATACTATTATACTCATATATATATTTTTTTTAACTTTTTATTTATGCTGTGCAATTCATACCTTCATCTTTTCACAAATAAGCATTTCGCATTTCTCTTTAACTTTGTATGAATTTAAGTAAAGAAAAAAACAACGATACAATAAATCAAATACCCAGTACTAAAAAACAAACAAACACACAAACAAAAGGCGAAAAGAGAAAAAAAAACAAAAAAAAAAAACTAAATATACAGTAAGTGTGCAAGCGACAAAGATATAACCATTTTATGTTTTTCGTACAATTTCTTTTTTTTTTCCTTCCTTCCTTCTTCTCTTCCTTTTTTCCTTTTCTTTCCCTCTCTTCCTTCCCCTCCTTCCCTTACTTTAGTTACAGGGCTCAAAAGTAATATTTTACACTGATAGCATTACTGCCATAAAATTTTAAATTAGTAGCATAGCACTTCGTTTAGTTGTGCAAGAAAGAAAAACAGAGAAAAAAAAAAAAAAAGAAAAGAAGCAACACAAAAACGAATTGGCTCAACACCACATATTATATATATATTTTTTTCTCTTTTCTCTTCCATCCTTTTCCTTCTTTTCATTCCTATTATTGGCAGTGAACAGAGTTTTGGTGGCAAATGCCATCAAATTAATAAAAATCTTGAGCTCTGCATTGACATCCAAGGTGACCATAATTCCATAAAAAAGTCAGTTTTCAGCTGAATTTTAGCTGTAATCTTTTCCATAATATATACCTCATTCACCTTTTGTTGCCATTGTTTTATGTTGGGGGGTTGTGGCTGCAACCATAATACCGTAATAGTTTTTTTGGCTATTAAAAGCTGGGTCCTCATTAAATATGTTTTCTTTTTCCCCATTTGGAGTCCTGAAGGGATGCCCAAAATAAATAACTTTGGGTCAAGTTTTATTTTTATATCCAAAATTTTCTCTATTATCCTTTTAACATTGTCCCAGTACTCCTGCAATTTTGGACAGGCCCACATTATATGTGAGAGGTCCCCTTGGTGGCCACAACCCCTCCAGCATAGTGCTGATGAAACGCCATTTTTTGCTGTTATAATTGGAGTTCTGAAATATCTGTTTTTAATCTTCCATTCAAATTCTCTCCAATTTGGGCTATTTGTTAATTTATGACCAGACAAACACTTTTCATCTCATTCATTTTCACTAATTAGTATGTTCAGTTCAATTTCCCACTTTCTTTTATTCTCTAAATCTTTGTTTTTAAGATCTTGTTGCAAAGCTCTGTAAAACCTTGAGATAATTCCTTTCTTCATTTTTTCTCCTTCACATTTTATCAAGAACAGTTCTGTCTTAGAGGGTTCCTTTAATATACTTTCCCATTCTTTGTTTTTCTGAAGATAGTGTCTAATTTGTAGGAATCTGTAATGGTCTTGAACTTGTAAATTAAATTCTTGAATGAGTTGTTGAAATGATTTTAGTACTTGTCCATCAAATAGTTGATCAATGTACACCAGCCCCTTGTTCATCCATTTCTTAAATCCATTGTCAGTTTTAGATGGGTGAAAATCTGGATTTACTGCAATTTTGGTAACTCTTGATACTGAGTTTGAAACTCCCAGCTTGTTCCTTATTTTAGACCATATTTTCCATGTTTTCTCAGCCCATTCATTTGTTAATTTAAGTTTTTTCCATTCTTTCGAACTCATAAATGGTAAGTAGCCTAGTGGTACTGGGCAAGAGTTCTGTTCCATTTCCACCCATAATGTATCTGTGTCTTCTGTTATCCATGACATTATTGTTTTGAGTTGTGTTGCCCAATAATATTTTTGCAAGTCTGGTAAATTTAAGCCCCCATCCTTTTTAGAACTTTGTAGCCTTTTATAACTTACTCTTGCCCTTTTATTTTGCCAGACAAAATTTAAAATCATTTTATCCAGAGCTATAAAGGAAGACTTTGGAATGATTAATGGGAGTGATTGAAACATAAAGAGCAAGCGTGGTAGAATATTCATACATATAGTTTCCACTCTGCCGATTAATGTCAATGGTAACAGCTCCCATTTTTTCAAATCTCGTCTTATCTCTGTAATCAATTTTTCGTAATTAGTTCTAAATAGTTGTGATGTCCTGGGTGTTATTGTCACACCTAGATACCTGAACCCTTTCCTGGTCCACTGGAACTTGATTTTTTCCTCTAATAGCTGGCTTCTCCCCAAATAGCATCATTGTAGTGGATTTAGTTTCATTAGTCAAAAAGCCAGATATTTTTCCATATTCATTTAAGACTCCCAGTAAAGCCGGTATAGATGATGTTGGTTTGCTAATAAATGCTAATAAATCATCAGCAAACAGTGATATTTTATGTTCTTTTTGTCCCTCACTACTATACTCATATTTTAACCATTATTGTGTCTCCCTCCTTCTCTATGATGGCTCACTTTTCACTCCGCCTTTGAGTGTGGCAGTTCTGAGCATAACATTTGATTCGAATTCACTTTATTATCAGAAAAAATCAGAAATTTGTCCTGCACCTTAGACATCTGACATTATGACATTATGAAAAGTGGATGCAATACAACAAATAAATTACTGAGTACTGGATCTGGAATGCTGACAACAAGGTAAACCTTATCACCCAACACTCTTGCGCCTGGGATGGGAGCAAACTCCTACAGCCAGGTTGCACAATCTTCCCAGTAGATTAAAGGGAGGCAGTTACTGCAAGTGATTAATACCCATGATTTTGTAACAAGACCACGTATGGGTGTAATGTTTAGATATCCACATAGGCATACATGATATATTGTATCTACTGCAAAGGTGCTCTTTAAAACGATTAAAATCAAGTATAAGAAAATGGTGCTCTGTCTGAACTGCAGGGGAATGTAAGACAAAGGAAAGAAGAGTGAGAAAAGTGAGGTGACAAAGGTAAAACCAGCAGACGGACAAAAATAAAACAAGGATGGTGACATCGGAAACACTTTGAGGAGGAAACCTGAAGAGCTTCAAACCGCTGAAAAGGCCACTGATGACGCAATTTAACCTCCAAATACGTCTCCCTCTCTGTACCACTCAGAGACAGATATGAGATATGAAGGGCAGAGCCGTCTCACCTGCTGTGATCGGGACTGGAGGTGGACCTGCGTAGGCCCTCCTGCTCTCCATCTGTAATGAGACAAAACACACACACACACACACACACACACACACACACACACACACAATGAGATGCAGTGACTCACTGCAGAGGATGTTCCCTAATCAGGACTAATCAGCAGCTCGGTGTTCTTCGTCACAGCGTTGATGGGAGGATGAGATCGAGCGATGAGGCGACGTGAGGGAAAACCCATCAGCCATTACCTTCTCTCTGATAAATACCAGCAATTAGCCCGGTCTCACTCAGCTCCAGCCACCACTGCACAGCAACCGCTTTAATAAGGTGCTTATTGTTAATCCTGCCGCCTCTGGATTTAAGACAGTGCGACTCCCCGCTGATGTGAAGCAGCAGGTTGTAGCCTCCAGTCTAACCTGCTGGCAGCTAACGAACCTGACGGTGATAAAACATGCTGTGGAGCATGAGCAGAGGGCCGGGTGTGACTAATGGAGGGTGGCTGTTCATGCAAGGTCAGCCAAAGAGGAGATTTGCTGTCTGGAGGGAAAGGTGGGGTCTAAACAGGCTGCTGGAGGTAGAGAGACGCTGCAGGAAGAAATAATCACTGAAGATCTACAGATGTGTTTGTGTGTAAGAAATAGTTTTCCATCCTGTTAATGAATGAAAGGATAGAAACTTCAAACACCTATTCCAGGTAGAAATGCACAACATGACATGACCGATTGCTACAAAATTAAGGCTGCAATAATTATTATCTGATGATTATGTTCTTGATAACCAATTTATCTTTTGGCCTTAAGAACATAGGAAATTGTTAACAAAAAATAATCCCATTATTATTTCCAAAGGCCAAAGGTGACAGAATCAAAATTATGAAAAGAGCTGCAGAGTCATTTTCTGTTGATTGATCGACTGATTAATCAACTCATCATTTCAGCTTTATACAAAAATATATATATAAAAAAGAACCTGACAGACAGATGGAACATAAACATGGAAAACAAGACAGTAAAATCAGACTCACCCCTGTGGGAGGCACCTTCGCTCTCTTCTGAGCGACCTCCCGCAGTACTCGAGTTCCCTGCAGAGACACAACAGCTTTACAGAAGTCTTTACCTTAAGATACAGTAAATAGACTACAACATACTGTATTTTTCACACTGCTTTACTGTGCAGGAAAGAGATTTGCTGCACATTCACAAACACTAATAACTCAGAAAATATTCAGACACATTTGAACTTACTGGAGAGATGCCGCTTGACTGACACCTGAAGTCAAGAGAGGGAGACAGATTTGGTCAATACAGTGGATTCATGTAAAGGAAAAACATGGTGTTCTTCTTGTTTTTTTTAAATGTAAAAAAGTCCCACAAAAAGATAAAAAACAAGAAAGAATAAATCAGTTTCTCAGTACTTTCTGACACCTGTACACGGTTGTTGCATTCAGGTTCAAGCCCACTGGTTCCTATTGTTGAAGACAAGGACGTAATTTCCCAAAACAGCTGGACACTGTAGATTTGAGTTAGTCCAACAGGAATAAATCGTGATTGTTCTGGACTATTTTCAGCTGCAAATTAACATGCATTTGGGGATCTTGTTAGCATTTACAGCAGCAGGGTTCAAAATAATCTGCAGTGCCCTGTTGATCGAAATGAAGGAACATGTCTCCCAGTGGGACAGTGATGTGTTTTTAATAGTAACAAGAGGATGACTAAGATACTATATCAGACTATGGCTATACAGACAAAACTTGTGGGCAGGATCAATTCATTGTTGGTTTTTTTTTTTTTTGTGGGAATTGTTGACAATGAGAAGTTTTAGATTTATGCATGTTGGGGTAAAATGCTGATGTCTTCAGAGGGATCCTAACAAACATACAGAACGTGACAGAAATACGAAACACAACCTGTTGCCGGACCCCTCTGTTGGGCGGCAGAGTGAGCGCCCCAATGGTGGCTTTCAGTTCTTTCTCTGTGGCAGCGGAGTTATTGCGACTGCTGCTCGCCACCGGTCTGATCTGGATGTGGAACTTCTTGGGCTCCTCGTCATCAAAGTCCGAGTCACTGGAGTAAAAGTTGCTCTCCTTCTCCTCAGAGCAGCGTACAGAGAGAGAGGACGGTCAAGGAGAACAAGCTCATGTTTCAGTATTTCATGATTGTTGCTTAACTGAAACTTAATGCAACGTGCAAAACACTAAATCAAATGCAAACACCTCCAAATACAGCCACTTAATATCAGCACACATTTAATACTAAGCGTATAGATCACTGAATCAGTGCTACATGTGATTGCAAGCATTGTATTTTTCTGTTACTTATTATTTTTGCACTTTACTTTCTTTTCTCTTTTTGTCTTTTTTTTACTGCATCAGTTCTCCTGTATATTGAGTATCATATATGGCGAGAATGACCTTGAAGCTTAATAACATTTCAAAGGTAAGCAGCATAAATCCTTACTTACTTGTGCACAATTGTGGAAAGATTAAAAACTACTGCTTACTGTCAATATGTTACAACGCACTGAGCGTCTGTTACTGTACATTAGAGTTAATTGTGGTTTACTGTACTGTTATCACTTTCCAGGATCACTGTGTTGTATTACTGAAAGACAAATGTATTTTATATGATCATTGAAAAACTTAAAGTTGATGTAAATATCAACATCTAATGTCTACTAATCATTCTCGTCTTCATTTCATCTCATATGAATGTGGGATGTTCTGCTGTGTGAGGTCAGAGTCTTGACTTTCTTACCTATATTTACAGTAGTACGGTAAAATTCAATATATATCTAAGTTGTCTATCAATATTATTTCAGATAATGACTTCTGCATAAACACTTTTTGTCCCCTGTTGCCATTTGCATCTGAGATCTCTGAGAAATGCCCTCTCATTCTGCCCTGCACAACAAACATACAGTGAAATGACAATAAAGCTGAACTGAATTGAAAACACAAATGGAGGTGAGGGCTGCAGAGCTTCAAATGGCAAAACCGCCACTTCCTGCCGCACCATCACCCCCACAGCTAAATTCACTTCTCCTTCCTCTTTGTTTGGATGGCACGCTGCTGCACGTGAAAGTGTTGTGTCATGTTATGTGAGGTGTGTCTTGTGTTTTTTAGAAGATTCAGAGAAACTACGGGACGTTTTCCAACATGGGGGTTTTTGATGAACGTGAACCATCTATTCTGAGCAGGCGGGGGGCTCGATGGGAGGGATGACAAAGTCAGGAAGAGTTGTTATCTCTGAGCTGTCAAGACTGAGAGCTGCTGCTGATAAATGGATCAGGGCTGGAGAGTTAGGACATGGAGTATTGAGGTTAGGAGGACAATTCATTTTTATCCCCTGCATCTGCATTTAACGAGGGGGATGCATTAAGTCATTTGCACCCACAAATAGGGTAGAGGCCTTTATAATTGTCTAGAGCTCTACAGCTAATGAGGCCATGAATTCGGCCATTTATGTAAATAAATTGGTTAAATCCGCCTCTCACCTCTGGCTTTCTGATTACTCCTCATTTAAAAAACCTCCATCTTAGTTACGGGCCTTTTTGGAGTCTATTCAGCGAGGCGAGCGATATCATAAGGTGATATCTTTATGAATCTAAAATTAGTCTGTGTTTCCAACTTAATTGGATTTTTAAAAAGATTCACAGTCATTTGGTGGAACAGTTTGGACTGATGTCTTGGACAGCACTCTCCACCATCATCACGACAATAAAACACTTGTGGCCTGTGAACCAAATCTGGCCCACAACAGGGCACTGGATGTCAACTGTTTTTGTAATTCACATGAATATAAATTGGTTCACACTGGGATTTTGTTTTTTACTTTGAATGTAAATAAGGTGCCAGAGTGTTTTTTATTTTACAAAATAGTGCCAGAGGAGGATCCCTCTGACCCACTGACAGAGGTCCGGGCAAAATGCCCCTGCATACAGCTAACCTGTGTGGGGCTGCATTGACTGGATTTGCCACTTTGCAAAAATGAGGACAGCAAACAAAAGGCTGAAAACAGAACATTCTTGTACTGATAAATATTATGAATGGTTGTTTATTAACTGGCTGCTGGTCTCCTGTCATTTTGCAAAAGTGGCCCCTGGGCAAAGCAGGTTGAGTATCCCTGCATTCAATCTTTTGGAAGAATGATGTTCATCTGTCCAACAGAGCTCAAGCGATAAGAAATCTGACTAATTGACAATCATTGTTTTTTCTTTAATTTTTCACCCTCTGTAATTACATTCACAGTGTGGCACAGAAAAAAACCTATTGAGCAGAAAAAGGATATCATTTTGTGTGCTGTCAGCTCGGATGACAAATCCCTCGTCATCTACTTCCAGGGGTGAATTCTATATGAATGAACACACACACACACACACACACACACACACACACACACACACACAGGAGAGAGAGAGGGAGTCAGACACCAGCTGGGTCAGCAACATGGAGACAAATGGCACTTCAGCCACATATCTGACACACAGAAGTGCTTTGTCGTACTGTGTAACTCAGCAGCTTGCGTGTACCGCTGAGAGGCTTCCATCGGAGTCTGTGTGAGTGAAAACACAGACACTACAACTGTTATGAAAGGTGTTAGTCAGTGCCTAGCTACTGTTAAATACGTTACTGCAAGGAGGACAAACAGCTGTGTGATAAAGCTGCAGGTGTGCTTCCAGTTTGATTTAAATCATGTCTACGTGCCGGGATGTCTGGTTACACGTCAGCTATAGTCATATGATCTTCAAAATAAGACATGAGGGAGGCCTGATTTACAATCCAGCCAACGTGGGAGCAGTTATTTTTAGACTAAGTGTGGACATATACAGATGGTGTTTGATTCTGATTTCAGTAAACAGATCTTGGTAGGTTAAGTTGATATGACAAGTGTAACTGTATCCATTCTTTTTTTTTGATCAGATCACACTGAAAGAAATCTGATTGAGGAACACTCAGAACACTGTAGTTAATGCATAACTGTGTGATTAGACTTTAAAAGTATAACTGCAGGAGCAGCTTAACTACAGTTTGACTCAAATTAACTACAGGTAGTAGTAAACAAAGTAAAAGGGTTGCTTGTAGTGATAAACCTACACCTAAATCTGCAGGTCAACTTGGCTTTATGGAGCTTTATCGCAAGTTTCATCTTGTCAGTCTGTCTGGCCCGCAACTTTACTGTTCTGGTTCACTCTCAGTGCTCCCGTGGCATCGTTATGCTACAACAAATAGTTGTCTTTCAGCGAAAAGTTCTAAAAACCCACTGCCTGTTACCTGCTCCGCACCAAACAGCAGATAGACACAGTTAGCAACTAGCTGGTGAACAAAGTGGAGTTAGCAGCTAAAGAGTCAGATATGTCAGAGTGAATAATGGACTTATGCAATGCTTTTTTTTCCTCCAAGTGAGGATTGGGATACATGCAGTTCACATATTCCAGTCAAAATGAATATATATTTTTAAACGCTTAAAGATCCACTCATTACTAAAAGAATATGTCATCCATGAGAGACAATGAAAAATAATGGAATGGTCAAAGTTGTCACATGAAGTTTAGGGTGTGCTGATGAGTCCCATCAAACACACACATTGAGTAAAATAACAAGATAACATTCCACCTTTAAAGTTGCTAGCAGTCAACCATGTGAATTAAGTTATTTTTTTCTCAGACTACAGCTGCTGCTAAACATCCTTTCATTATATAGTTACTACAGTTATAGTGACCAAAAATGGGGACAGTATGGAACGGTTGCATTGGAACCATCCACAACTTTTCACAGTGGAAACGGAAAAAAAGCGTACCAAACTGAACTGCACTGTTCTGCTCAGTGGAAATGAGGCTTAAGTAGGCAATTGTTAACACTGATACAGCCAACTTCTTACTCGTACATTTATAAGGCAATGATATGTCTTTTGCCCTCTGGTGGCCAAAAATCAATAAATGCAGCTTTAAGTTGTACAGGCTGTAACTTTCCCCAGTATCTAAATATCATCCAGCAACTGATTCATTAAAGTCAGCGTCTCTTCAGACACCCGATAATATAGAGTGTTGCAGGAATCAATTCTAAAACCTGGAGATGTGTTAGCATGTTTGCATGTCTTGAATTTAATACATTTTTTAATTTTTTTGATTAAATGCCTGAAAAAATGTCTGTGGTTAACACAATCTTAAGAGATATTTCTATTCTCTGAAATAAAATACAGCAGTAATTAACTAACTTTTATTTTTTGAAGCTTTTAGGTGTCTTGGAAAAAAGGGTGTTGCTAACTATGGCAATTGCTTTCGCATCCAAAAATCATAAAATTGGTGTTCATTCTCTAAGATTATCATACTGAACAAAATGTGTGAGTATAATAAATCTTTGTTTGCCAATGGAAAAATCCCACCAGCCAGGGCAACCCAGGCTTCTGGGCTGACCTTCAATAAAGCGTTGTCGTTGCAGCACTCTATATTTTTGGTAAAACACTTAAGTAATTAACAGACTATTATGATCTAAAGACAGCAGCTAGACACAATAATCAATCTGTATTACTGCAACTTTTCTTTTTCTTCTGATAATAACTGTCATAATGTTGAATATAGACGGTGAATGGACTGTAGAATGGACCTCTGCCAATATTACTAATACCTGTTACACCACAGTCAGAAACTTAATGCCCTTGAAAGTATAAAATAGCAGCACCAGTGGCTCTGTGACCTGCAGTTTACTCTACCACATCAGTCTGTTAGATAGCAGCGTCCAAAGCCCTTTCACAAACAAACACGCGCGCGCACACACACACACACACACACACACACACACACACACACACACGCAGTTACGCATTTCCTCTGTCACTGCCAAAGAATCACAGAAACCTCTTCTCAGAAGTACTGGAATAAACCTGGGAAACCCCACACCGTCAGTAATGTCATTATCACACACACTCGTGATTTCCCACTCACCTTCTTTCCACAAATACAAACACACTCCTGTGCATGCTTCTCCTCGCACCTCCGCGAAAAAATACACGCACACACTCCTCTCACAGTACAGAAGTGCTCTACAACACATTTGTCTGTGGGGATAACTGCAGCTTTAGGAGTCAGACAGAACTGATAATTGAGTCAATGGTTTTGGAGCTGCAGTGTTTGGGTGTGAATTATATCTGATACTCACCGGGGTCTCCGTCACTGCTGAATCTCTGCAAATACGAAACAACAAAACACATAGATGTATTATTTTTCATTATTCAGCAGTAACTCGGACCGAAGTCAGTGGCAAAGAACGAACATCAAGATTCAATTTCAGAAGATCAGGGCTCATAGAGCACAGCATGTTTGTTCCTCTGTGTTAGTGTGTGCGTGCACTCACGTAGAGTCCGGCTCCTTGTCCCTCTTGCCAAGGCCGGGGATCCTGAAGGCTTTTGCTCGACTCTTCTTCCCACCTTCTGGTGCCAAAGCTGTCATGTACTCCTCAAAACCAACCAGAGCTGCAGACGACAGACAGTTTGACAAGAACAAAGAGCATTCAAAAACACAATATATGTATGTAGTCAAGTCTTGTATTTTGTCACAATGAATAATTCTGCCTCCATTATTCTGTTTTGAGTGTTGGTGTTGTAAGTTTTTTTTAGCGTTATGTGAACTGCTGAAGTTGTGTTTTTGTATCACCTCTACTAGAAGCAAGCCAAGAATCCATCCTAGGGAGCTGAATTGTACCTGGCCTGTCTTTGCCCGTGCCCTTCTGCTCTGCAAATTTCTGGATGAGGTTATCAATGCCGATGTTTTCCACATTCTGCTTGAATTCCTCGTGAACCTGCAGCAGAGCAGAGCAAGAATGATTATTTGGTCCTTTAAAAAGCTTGTAGTATTAGAAAAGGTGCCATGAAAAATAGTTTGTTATCAAAGCTCAGTGTGACGATGTCTTATGCAATGATGCATCTAGTTTAACACATGACTCTGACAGAAATGCCTTATGATCTCAAGTATACTATTGGTGAACACATACATGAAACTGTTGTGCTGTACGAAAAATGTTGAGTTGTATTTATCTTCTGAATACTAAACATAAACGTTATAGAGCCCTGGTGGATGCTAATATTAAAGGGGCCTATTATCCTATATATTTTTTATTTTTTGTCATACACACACACACACACACACACA